CCTTTATTTTCTATAATTTTTGCTCTTAAATACTAAATTTTACATAGTCTAATAATTAGGTTTAATTAGGTTTTTCTTTTAGGTACAAGGTTAAAGGAAATGTCCCTTAACCTTTTTCTTTGTTACCTTATTTAATTACTTCCTTTTCCTTTAGTTACATTTTACATTTTTAACTAATCCCTGTTATTACATTTCATATTTTAATGTCTAAAAGAACCTTGGTAACAAATATTTTAATGCTTTGAAAAACCCTTGTTAGAAAATAATTTAATTTACTAAAAATATAAAATAAAATAGTAAAATATTAAATAAAATGCTAAAATATTTAATACCCAAATAACAGAATATGTTACTTAGGTAATTAGCGCGCAGACACATGTTCAAATTTGAACAGTTATTGTATTTTGATTTTAATTGCAAGTTCGAAACTGTAGATTATAAAATTATAATATCAGATAATAAAAGTGAAACTGTATTTAACGACTTATATTTTGATTATTCTGATGATTGTTGTTTAAACATAAAAATTAATGAATTATTATCTAAACTAAAACCTAGCAATATTAAAAATATTGATGATTTAAGTATTAAAATAAATAATCAGAAAAGTTTTATATCAAAGTCTCTCAATTTTATTAGTTAAATTGAATTCTAACACATATTGGTACGGATTTATGTCATTATTTATAACCATAATTATGATAATAATTATTGTAAAATGTATAAAAGGAAATTTATGTATAAATATGTTATATGTAATAAATATTATTCCCTTAAGGAATAATATTGTTGTATACACAACTAAAAAATCTGATGGCGAAGTAATTATTGAACATATTAATTTTAAAAATAAGTACAATTACGAATGGTAAAAATAAATACTTACTTAATATATCTAAAAGTTAATATATATACATAAGTATATAAATAAATATACTTAATATTTTTTAGTATAAAAAATTTTAAATATAAAAATCAATTTGAATTCGATAAGCATATACTGTAAGAAAGAAATTAGTTAAGTTAATCATATAAAAAAACAAAAAAAACATTTAATTATAAAAAAAAAATTGTTATTTATGTTAAACAAAACCTGTATGCTAATTTAATTATTGCTATATATATATTTTAATAAAGTTATTGATTTGGATTAATTGGAGTCAAGGTTGAAGTTGGACATGCCTGTTATGATGTGATTTGCTTCTGGAAGTAAAGTCAATTACTATGTCATTGCTTTTCTTTAAGGGCGGAGGTGTTATGTGGATTTATTCTACATATTTGTCAAATTAAGTTTTGTCTTACTTTGTATCAAGATAAATAAAAGAAAAAGCGCAATATCACAGTTTTGTTTAGGAATTTATCCTAAACACAAAGTAACGCTTCCTGTTTACACTATTTCAAGTTCATTGAAGCTTACTTACTGTTTATGCTGATTCAGCTATGATCACTGTAGTCAAGCTGCACACAGTATTCTTTGTTTTCTTTATGAACAATGTTGCGCTTATGGTTCCCCCTATAGGAATCAACTTACATACGACAAACACCACCACACTTATCTCAAGAATGCAAATCTCAGCATAATTGATTTGGTTTGGTTAGCTTTTGCTTGATTCTTTAAATTCAGTTCGAGTCAAGCCAACAAACAACTTGATCTGTCTTTAATGTATAATAGAACTGCCGCTTACCTAGGTTTATGAGTAGCGTATGAGAAAAGTATAAATTATTATAAGTGCTATTAGCTGTATATATGAATCAGGTGGAGTCGAATATACGAAAAAGAGAGTCAGAATGCGTTTAAGGGAAATACAGCCGATGATTCGAGTACGACTCGATTGTTGAGTACTCATAGTGCTTGAGTCAGCAAGTGCTTTATATAAACATTTTTTGTTTACATATTGTATACATATCTATATATATTGTTTTATTGCTTCTATTTCAATATTCCTTGAAGCTGCAATCTTCTTTATTTGTAATGTACCTATAATCATGAAAGTTCCCCGTCTGAATTTTTGTACTTTCGCTCTTCTCCAATATATGTATAACAGATTTTCCATCTGCATGAAAACTTTACGAAACAAATATGAATCAGATATCCAAGAACGAAACTGATAAATTTGGTAAAAAATAGTAAAGAAAAAGGGGAGGAAAAATCATCTCTTCTATAGGGATAATGCATATAATCCAAAAATTGTTAGTATCGTACTCGTGATACTAGAAATAGAGACAAAAGAATTAATAAAAGTATAATTCATATAGCTAAATTTTCGAACCAATATTCCAGCATAAAGAATAAAATGGGTGTAGAATCTAAAACACGCTTGCTTCACATTGCGTTTTATCAGAATACGAACCAGATTTGGACAATAGGATTATAAATGAAGGGGCGGGGTTTCCTAAGAGTACTCTACCTAAGAGTACTCTGCGTTCGGGATTGTGGAAGCCTCGGTTGTAGAGTGGAATACGTGGTGGAAGAATAGGTAAGCTCTTCTTCAAGATAGTGGGCAAGAATTTGGGGACCTTATATCTCATGGACTCAACCAGTATGGTTAGAAGGGGATTTACCTAAAGAATGTCGGGAATATTCCGATTACATGAAAAGTATCTCCTAGGAAGTGAAAAGAGGTACTCGTCTATTCGAGAAACCTTAACCGCTTTGTGGATGAAAGCGTTGGAATAGTGTTTGCCACATGGCCTACGTCGGTAATGGACACAATCACAAGCACTCTTCTTTCGAAGATTCGGATCAATTCCATCTGGTGGGAGGTAACTGCGGACTAGATTGAGAAAGTTTATGAAAGGAGAGGTTATATGAGTTGTTTATAACAAACAACCTTTATCTTACTATTAAGTTGATTATGTATACGGAGTGCATTTTTGAAGCTTTTTATGCCTAAATGTGGAATTTCTCTTGTACCATTCCTAGGACATGAAGTTATATTCGGAGTAAATACAATTCCAAGATATTTCAACTGAATGGGGGAACCATCAATGCTAAGCTTCAGGTTGAAGGTTTTTAAGATTCGTACGAGACTTTTGTGGGATTGAGCTTAATCTTCCACTTGCCATAGTAAGAGAAGAGATTCCTCAGATAATTTTTAAGCTCAATGAAGATCCTTCAGTCATGGAGGATCTCCATGCCTCAATGGAGGCAGTCATTAGAGTAGCAGATTTGCTTAGCTCAAATCGGCACGGGTAGACCGGCAGTGAAAATATTAAAAAGGGTGGGACCTAGTACTGAGCCCTGAGGGACACCGGCGGAGATGGGAACAAGGAGCTTGTTGATCAAATTCTCGATCCACACAGTATCTAATGCCTTTTCGATGTCAAGGCTAATGGCAACAGTAGATTATCTGTTGACAAAACCAACATAAACGTCTCATCAGTTTGTGCCTCGATGGTACTGGAAATGACGCATTCAAGTTTAGAGACAAGAGTATCAAATTCCGTGCGAATCACATTTCTATGTTCCAGGATAGTATTGTTAAGAAGATACTAGTTTAGAGCATTATTGAATTCTGGCCAGTTAGTGGTAAAGAAATGCTTCTTCTTGTGGATAGCATAGCTGTTATAGAAGAAATCCTTGTCTTTGGCAAGGATTCGGGTGGTGTTGCTATTTACGCACTAGAACTCGTAAACAGCATTGGGCCGAGAGTCTTTTGTTTGAGGAAACGATTAGTGTGAGGGGCGGTAGTCAAAGGTTTAGAAGATGATGATTTTAGTGATATCATGGATGTTGTTGGGGTGATGAAGGCTTGAAGGCTAATTGTGGCGAAACAGATAGTGTCTAAAGATGGTGAATGAGTTAGAGGTTTTGGGAAGAGTGCGGCCACAGTTGAAGACATAACGTTGGTCGCGGGTGAAAGCTCGTGGATGATAGTGGAAAATAAGATGTACTTCATTGATGCTAATCTAGTGTTGATGGCTATATTGGTATGAAGCTGGAAGTTGTCTGCTTTGAGGTCTTCAACGTTCTTTTTGAGCTCGCTGATTATGGAAAAGTTATTTTCGAAGACACATTCAGTCTTCTATATATGTACGCAAAATGTCTTAGAAGATAAGACATTTGGCTAATTTGTTTAAAAATGTTTTTGAAAATGTTTTACATTTCGGTAGTCCACATGCACATGCATCCATAATACATGTGTGAATATTTAAAGTAAATTTATTTATAACGTTTGACATGCTTATAAGATATCCACACTTATCGTTTCAGGTTGAATATCTTTGCGATCATCTGTACGATATGCGTACGATATTGTATCTTACCGCAGTGGTGTACATCACGTTTACATTGTGAGATTAAGAGAACGAGGTTAAGTTAATCTGTATATATTATCAACACTGTTTATATTATACAATGGAGATGTTTTGACGTTTGTCTTAATAATTATAAAGCTATTATTATGTGCAAAACTATTAAACAAATTTAATAAGAATTTCACTCACTTCGGCATTTTCAAATTTTCAATGTTTGTTTTAAATAGATTTTGACGTTTATTTTCCAATTTTTCTAATACGTAAAAAATCTACGATATTAAGATATTTGCAGAGTTGCACAGAAAAATAATCACCATTTCTAACGATACATCAAATTAATATTGATCAAAACGAAGTTAACTTTTCTATGAGAAATCTGTAATTGGACAACTAAATTTGTACTTTAACATCGATGGTTGTTTTAATCTACTGTTGATCTTACAATGTAAACGTAGCATAATATACTCACACTTACCGTAAAGGTCTAAATATCTTTGCGATCATCAGTATCGCATATCGTACGATATTGCATCGTACCACAGTGGTGTAATCAGGGCATTATTGTTCTCTGGAGTATTAGTATTTTAAAAACATCATAAAAATATATATACATAAACATGTATTTTTATTAAACTACATTTCATAATAGAAAAAATAAAATGTTTTCATTATTTACAATATACCATTAAATATATTTTATCACATTAGTTTAGTTAATAATGTAACATTGACAAAAGGTATACAAATATTTTTTCTTTGGTGTATTATTTGATATTCCAAAAGTAACGAGTATTTTTATTTCTACATCAATGAAATTCATATAAAAGCATAGGAAAATTGTGTTTTACGTATTGTATTTTGCTGAATGCAACTGCGTGAGTGTTGATTGCACTTTACAAACTTGTTTCACCGGAGAATTTTTACTGGATTAAATAAATTTTTGATTTCAAAATGGCTAATCGGGATAGTGCCGAAAATCAATTAATTGACTACAAAAATAATTTGACAGTAAGTACATATGTTTTGCTTTCATTTATAGAAGTTTTATTACAGTATTATTGCAAATCATGTTTTAGTTTTATAGAGTGAATTCGAAAATATGGCAAAAAATTAAATCAGGGCATATATGTTATATATGTATATGTGTAATGAACTTAGTTATGAAGTTTAAATTTAGTTCTGCTCTTCGGGTTCAAAGTTTTCTGATTTTGCTTTCGTTAAAATTTTCTTTATCTCTTTGATAACGTGTTTATCAGTGTATGGAAAAGTTATTGAAGTAATTAAATCCTAAAGTGACCCCTAACAAAGTATTACTACTATTATGTAATTTTAAAATAATAATATTGATAGCTTCGCTTAAAGTAAACAAAGGTCGAAACCTATTTTTGCGAATAGATTAAAGTGTAGTCTCAGCTTCAGTTAGCAGTACTAAATCGAACTTACTTAAAAATGGATTTATTAATTAATTTGCCCTCAATACTGTTAACAATTAAGATATACAATAAATTGTTTAATAACTTTAATTTCTCAATTCAATAATCTGTTTAAGAAATTGCGCTTAAAATATATATAATTGTAATCTAATGAACTCATCAGGAATATAAACTTAAAATAATAGCAAAATGCTAATTTACTTAAAATAAAATATTGTAGAATTAATTTTGTAAGCCCACAGTGAACCTTTGAATATGTTATGCTTCATTCACGTCATAAAAGTTTATCTTGTATGCATTGTGTATCAGGTCTTTCAAAATGGAAAACAACCAGATTATGAACTTTCCGGCACTCCAATCAAACAAAACAAAATATCTACGATTCATTTTCTGTCTTATCTCAATTTGGAAAGAATTAAGTTAACTTCATTAATTTATGTAAAACAGAGAATTGACATTTACTATAATTAAGTACAGTTGGTAATAAAAAGTAGAAATGATTTCCTTAAATTATAAATATTTAATTTATATTTTTTAAGTTTAATTGTTTAATTAAAGTTCAGATTAGTATTGAAGATTAATACTTGTGGCATGAAAATTTTTTACTTAGAATTATCAATAAATTAGCAATAAATATTGGTTTAATATTTACCTATGAACGTAATTTTGATTTGCCGGTCACGCTAGTTTATTAACGAATTTTGATGGAGTTGGCTATTTGGAGTAAATTTTTATGCTACGCTAAATATCTATTTGATGCTACCTTATTTCCCCAGACATAGAATTTGAAATTGTAAACATTTTACATTCATTTCAATAACAAAAATTGCGATGACTTCACATTTTTATAATAAAAATCAGTGTGTAAGCCTATTTTGAAATCTCTGCGGAACAGTATCACTCCTCTACAGATCTTATAATGTTCATTTAATATTTTGTGTTGGATTTAATAACAAAATTTAAAATATGTATTCATTTTGCAAATTTACAAGATTGTGTTTAATAAGTACTTGTCTTAAATGTATATATCTAAATTATATCTAACAGAAAATAACAATTAATGTTTACTTATTTTTTTTAAATACAGTCAAACTTTCATAACTCGAAGTATTATTTTGCAAAGAAAATGTTCGACTTATGGGGACTTCGAGTTAAGGAATTTTTTTGTAATTGTATGTAATTTGCTCTCTAAACCCTGTTGCACTCTATTTAGTTCGAGTTATGAAAGTTTGACTATATTATAAATATGTAGTATAGAGTTGGGCAAAAATAGAATTTGTTAGGGCCATTTATCATAAATTTTTTGACACTTCCTTTTAATTCTCATTTAGAACTTTCATTAATGTAGAACTCTGAATTTTATATTTGAAAATCGTAGATGCTTTTTGCAGTCAGCGCTGCAGAGATGCAAATAAATAATAATAATCTTAAAGTATAATGCGATGCATGAATGGATGGATGCAGAAAAACTGCTTATTGAAAGTTGCTGAACTTTTTCTAGGTCAATAAGATTTTTTGTTGCACACTCAATGTTTTAAGTACACCGTATTAAAAGCATAAAATTCAATCTATTAAATTTTTTTCATTCAGTTCTTAAAATTTTTGCTATTAATTTAACGAAAATTATTTAAAACTTCTTAAGTGCTGGACTGTTTGAACCTTATTTATAAATTCATTGGAAGATTTAGCGGATACCAACCAGGACAGTAGTCCTTTTTATATTGCTCACTGGTTGTCACTATCAACAGCATATAACTTTTCACAGATTTGTTCTATATTTTGATCGGATCTGTTATCCGCTGAAAAATTTCCAGATCTAAACAAACGTTTTAGAGTTATTCCACTAAAAAATCAACCGAATAAAAAAGTGAATACTTCTACCAGATTAACATGTATTTGTGTAATCGTAAAGAGGTTTTTCGAACAGTAGTGAACTACACAATACAATCTTAATGGTGAATACCAATGAGTAGAAATACTTACAACACATTACGAAAACTGTAAAGCTTACGATTAATGCAGTTTAATGCAAATTTAACTTCGTCATAAACACAGTTCAGTGTATACTTACTCCCTTTTAAAGAAATCATGTCTACGTACATTCATTGACAAAAACATGATAGTTCGCAACTGCGAAAGCGCAATATACTTACAGCTTTGGAGTGAATGCACTGTATAAAACTGGTTAAAGCTGTTTGGTTGCTCACATAGTTATCAGTTATTACTAATATAAAATATATTTTCAGTAATAAATGTTTTTTATTTAAATCCAGTTTATTCATGCCTTTCATCGTTTGCAATGTAATAATTCTGTACTGCATATTTAATGTACTTAAGGTTTGACTTTCATGTCTGTTGAAAACAAAATATACATATACATAACTTTGTATATATGTTTTTACCGTATTAACAGAGTTAAGTACTATTACTCACATATATTTTAAAAAATATAATTTTAATTGATCCACTTAAAATGTTTACAATATTTTTAAGTAACTTTAATTAATATTTTTTTTTGTAATTTAAATATCGTTCATACTATTTTGATTATATTGAGTTCTTAAAATGTTTGAATAGGCAGTTTAGTAAGTATTATTTGCTTAAGTATTATTGTTTTTTGCACGTATTTTTATATGATCTGCTTAAATAATAGATTTAAAATAGCATTTTTTTAAATAATGACAAATGCATTCCTAGGCTAAATTTTGAAGAGGAAGAAATTTTTTGTTACCTTTATTATTGAGTTCCTTTTTATTTTCATTGTTATTATTGTGGTTACATGAAATGTATGCAGTTTTTATATATATTTATCTATTATGAATACAATATTTAAGGAGAATATACAAAAAATAGTCTAAATAAAGAAACATTCATATTTTAACAAATAAAGACAGAAAATAACAGCATCAATTTCAGATTCAAATCTTTAAATCATACCACAAAGTGGAAAAAATCTAAGATTTCTTGTACAATAGTTTTAAGAAATGGTTTGATTCGTCATGACATTCTCGTTTGGATTTAGCACCAACAAAATCCTTGTGCCAGTTGCTAAAGCTGGACGATTTCTCGCAGTGCAGTGATTACCTCTTGGAGTAGTAGTTGTATCTTTATTTTCGTTTATCTCCATACTTGAATATCGGTTACTTGCTATTGTCAGTGAGTGATGGATCTAAGGACGATACGCTTGACACGTTTATAAAGCGAAAAATAATATTTAATAATTCCAACAGTACAATAGGGCATTATTAAATAATGTTAAAAAATACTTGCATGTTAAGATTCAATGCGAAGATTAAGTGCTTGTGCAATTTTCTCTTTTTTATAAACTTATATATTAAATATGTAACTATAGAGATGCATTTACTGCAATTCAGCATTTATTATTTTAAACATTTATTATAAATAATTTATTTTATGTAGTTATAGAGGAATTTTATTTCTGCATTTAATTAAGTTTAAATTGATTGCTCCATTTAGTATTGCGTTATTGCATTCAATGACTAGGATAGTTGCTATCCTAACAGAGAAAATTTCAAACTTGAAAAATTCAAATTTTAGAAAGTACATATTTTCGAAGGATATTCATTTGTGATGTATTATATTTATCATATTGTATTTTAGAATATGTAATGAAAATTTTTTGTATTCACATAATTAGGTAATTCGCATATTGTAGAGAGGTACACATTATCGAGTTCATACTGTACTTTTATTATTGTTGTTTTTTTGTTGTTTTATAAAAAATATTAACCTTTCTGAACTATAAAAAAAGTTTCAAATAACAATTTTTTTTACAATACTTAGTGAAATCTAAAATTTTCTTATCTTGTGTACAGAGGTCTATTTAAATACTTATAAAGAATGTGGTGATAATTCATATTTATTTATTTAAAGTGAAAAAATTAAAAATACAGTAGGTAGATATAGTTTTAGAGGGCTTAGGTGCTTAGACCTTTTCAGCTCATAATATAGTAAATAGCAATCTTGATACTACATATATACAATAGGTATTTTTATAATAATTGGAAGCAATAATATACAGAAAATGTTATGTATAAATTTAATTTATTTAAAATTTTGAACAAACTTGCCAAAAATTTGGAAAGAGTGTTGTTTAATCATAATCATTTTATAAATTTCTTAGCTAAAAATTATTAAGTAAAAAATGGTTTGGTAAAAATTTCCATCCTTACAGTGCTATACTGAGGTTTAACAGCAACATAGGACTAACAGATTTACAAATAATTGAACAAAAAAACAATCATAATGTTATCATATCTAAAAGAGAAAGAAGTAAATCAAACTAGTATGAGATTATATCCTATACTATTCGTATTTGTATAAAGTTATATACAAGAATTAATACGTTAATAACAAGAATTAAATGTATAATAATTAGAATAAAGCAAGAGGAATGCTTCAACAAATTTGATTGTATTGCTAAAATTTCTCTTAAATATATGAATAATTAACTGTAATATATCTAATTGAAAGCGAAACATATTACCTCCAATTTTTCGATGTGTCAGGTAAACTTCTAGTGAATTAAAACCAAGGAAGTTTATATACAATTTTCAGCACCTAACTCTATTCAGGCGTCAATGTCTTGAACTTGATACTAAAAGAATTATACCAAGCCTGGACAACATTTTTTTTATCATCTATTAAAGAATATAAAGTTTTTATAAAAATATGTAGTCCACATAATTAAACATAAATTTAGGGTTATAACATCTAGTCATTTTGAGTTGGCTCCTTTATATTATATTATTGAGAACTATAAAACCCTATAGCAGGAATGAAGGTTTGCCGTTTCGCGAAAAACATATCGCTTTAGTTTTGCTGTTATTTTTATTTTTAGGTAATTTATGGAAGGTTTCTTCAGTGTTCTAAATTCTTAAGATTTTAAAGTGCATTTACAAATTTAACAAAAACATTTAATAACTTTAACATAAAAACTATATTTGTACACTTACGTAATTATACATCCATTTATATATTACATGATTTATATATATTAAATATACGTCTTAGATTTACTGGGAAATTTAAATTTCTGAACCTTAAGAAATGTTAACTTACGCTGCATTTTTATATAATATGAATTAACAATCTTGAAGATAGAGCCGTCGTGGTACGGAAATAAGATTTCGTTTGCTGATATATGAGACGAAATCTGATTAATAAATTTAGTTAATATATTGAAAGACTTTTAAATTTTGATTACACAAAAAGATACAATTTTGCTTAAATAATTGATATATTTAAATTGGTACTTTTATAGACTAGTCCAGGTTTTATAACAACTGCTAGTGGCAATCCTGTTGGCATTAAGGATGCAATACAAACAGTAGGACCCAGGGGTCCTGCATTGCTGCAGGATGTACACTTTCTTGATGAAATGGCACATTTTGATAGGGAACGGATTCCTGAACGTGTCGTTCATGCCAAAGGAGCAGGTGCTTTCGGTTATTTTGAAGTCACTCATGATATAACAAAATACTGCGCCGCCAAGATTTTCGAAAAAGTTAAAAAACGTACTCCTCTTGCTGTACGTTTTTCAACAGTTGGTGGTGAAAGCGGCTCAGCAGATACAGCACGTGATCCTCGAGGCTTTGCAATAAAATTTTACACTGACGACGGTATATGGGATTTGGTTGGTAATAATACGCCAATATTTTTTATACGTGATCCAATACTATTTCCCAGCTTCATTCATACGCAAAAACGTAATCCCCAAACTCATCTAAAGGATCCGGATATGTTTTGGGATTTTCTTTCTCTTCGACCGGAATCTACTCATCAAGTTAGTATCAATTTGTTTTTAAATCAATTAATAATATTTATGTGATTTTAAGGTTTGTTTCTTATTCGGAGATCGTGGTACACCTGACGGATATCGTCATATGAACGGATATGGTTCCCATACTTTCAAAATGATTAATGCCACCGGAGAACCTGTCTATGCTAAATTTCATTTTAAAACAGATCAAGGAATACGTAATCTAGATTCAAAGCAAGCTCATGAATTAAGTGCAACCGATCCTGATTATAGTATCCGTGACCTTTATAATGCAATTAAAAATGGAAACTATCCAAGTTGGACTATGTATATACAATTGATGACATTTGATCAAGCTAAGAAATATAAATACAATCCGTTTGATTTAACAAAAGTATGGTCTCAAAAAGATTATCCTTTATTACCTGTTGGAAAAATGGTATTGGATAGAAATCCAAGCAATTATTTTGCTGAAGTGGAACAAATTGCATTTAGTCCAGCACATATGGTACCTGGAATAGAACCTTCACCGGATAAAATGCTTCAGGGTCGTTTATT